GCGCCTCGTAATTGCGGGATTCTGGGATTCCTCTCACACGACTGCCGCCCAAGCACAAGAGCACTGATTATGTGTGTGTGTGTGTGTGTGTGTGTGTGTGTGTGAGAGAGAGAGAGAGAGAGAGAGAGAGAGAGAGAGAGAGAGAGAGAGAGAGAGAGAGAAGAGATTTCCCCTGTGATTTGATCAGCACCATTGTTGTTTAGGTGGGAAAGGAGTTGAATTGAGGAGGGATTATTATTCGGCATTGCCCTATTCCAAGTCTTCTTCTTCGTCTTCTTCATTCTCCCTCCTTCCTCCTCGTCTTCTTCACCTCCATCAATCCTCGTCTGTGTACTATGGGGATTCGTAGGGCGGTTCCTTGTATGATTGGACTGCTCCCCTCTGTGTGATGCTTGATCCTTTGTTCGTATTGTTGGTTTATGCATGTCTGAGTTGAGTCAGTCTTGATTTGAGTCTCCCGCTGTGTATACTGTTGTCATCTTCTCCCATTGGTGACTGTTGGACTTGGGAGCATGCCAGCCATCAGCCACGTATGCCACACATGGGCCTGGACGGTCCAGTGAAGGGGTTTTGTGGCAATGGGCCTAGAGGATGAACAGAAGGGGTCTCATGGCAGTGAATTTCCTGACAGTGGGCGTGGAGGATGAAGCGAAGAGGTCTCATGGCACTGGCATCCAAGTTGTGGTCATATATTAGGTGTTTTGAACTTCAAAACAATTCTCTCTGAATGAGGATTGAGAAAGGTTAGAACCACCAGTTCACATGAGGCTAAGTTGAGGAAGCTACCTTCCAAGGCTCGCGAGCCTACAACTGCACTTTTTCAAAGTGGCCTACCCCTTTCGCTACCGGCCCAGGCCTGAATCAAAATGCTCTTACCGCACAAACCGGTAAGAGCAGTAGTCTGCTTCCGTGAACTGGCGGTTTAAACCACCAGGACTTCCGAAAGTCACGGCGGTGGTATACATGCTGCTCGGGGTGCTGGTATAAATTCATTCAGGTGGAAACATTGCGGCACTGTAGTAATGGCTGGGGGAATACAAGCCGCGACTTCCGGAAGTAACGGCGGCTTAAGAAGCTGGACTTGTGGGGGAAGGGTTTTTTTTACTAACTTTTTAGTGACTGAAACTCTCTGCTGCGGTGTGTCAACTTCTCACCTGGTTCTCAACTCTCTCAATTCAATAGGCGGTAGTTGGGGATGGCTTATGCACTCGTATGTATGGCCATCATCGATTTAGGCACTCCATGATCGAGAATGGAAGGTTCGTGTGAAGATCTCTTTGGGAGACGGGTACACATATCATCTAGTCAGCGGACGGATGGTGCATTGAAAAATGGTCTGCCGTTTTCACCCGAATAGAACCCGTGGTCATTATAGCTGAGTTTTGGGGCAGCTCTTTCAGTTAGGTGCAGCGATAATGACCGGGCATTCTATTCGTTTGAAGAAATGTGCTCCAGTTTGGATGATTCTGATAACCCCGTGATTGTTGTTTCGTTGTCTCGTGGAAGATGAAATGAATGAGCTGCAGGTTTTGGGTACAGCCCTTGAAGTACAAGGGAACATGGGATATAGACGGATGCGACATGGACACGGGAGTACATGCTATGATGAGTGAAAGGGACACATCGAATGAATGGCGAAATACTAAGGGATGATCCACTTCAGAGGACCTATTCTGGGGGAGCGCCAGGTACTAGGTATACCCTAGAACATTAGAGTCCACATCCAAAGACGAAAGGTGTCCAGGGATCATCAAACCACCAGTACTTCCGGGCCACTTTCTTCCAGGGCTCCGAACATCCTGCATGCTAAGCTTTGTCCAACCGCCAGCACGGTTTTTTTTCCCCTTTTGGCTGGCACCGCCAGCCATTGTGGTCTGGTAGCCCCAAATTGAATTGAACATACTCTATGGCTAATACAGTAGCAGGCATGATAACAGAAATGAAAATTTATCCAAGATAATCAATCCATTATGCATGCCTTGAAAATAGGTAGCCCCGAAGCCCGGTTGACACAGCGTGCGAACGTCAAGGGCCCACGGCTGATGTATGGGGCAAGTACTCCCGACGGGAACAAGGGACAGGGGCGGAGCAGTGTTAAACACTTCCGACGGTGTAGTAATCCATGGTACTGTCTCAGGATCTCTTGACCGTAACGAGGAGATGCGTTGAGTGAGTACAGCTGATGTAAGGGACGCTGGACCCGTTTTCCAGCATTATTAATACAGAATCGGATTCCTGAAAGAAAAAAAAAAAGGCTGAATGATGTGGTCCGCTAAGGCCGAGGTTGTTGGGTTTCCATGCCTCAGAGAACGCCCACTGTTCTCTGAGCGACCAATTCTGTTCCTCGAGTACATGCAGATTCATCAGAAACCAAAGACAACGTCCAGTCATCAGTGTGGAAGCAGAGCTTGCGTCAAAAAGCTCTTCGATAACATTCCAAGTCATGGAATAAGGAAGGGAACATGGGGCCCCGGGCCGGGACATTGTGGAGGATCAGTTTTGCAGCGGTCTGGAGGATGCTCTGCAAACCTCAGTGGATGGGGGTGGATCTGTCGACTGAGCCCAAGGGATGCATCTTGTGAACGCCGGAGCTATTCTGATGCGCGGGGAGTAGGTTCTCTTTCCAGATCCCAGGCACGTTGCTTTTGCGCCCACAATGCTACCAGTAGTTGTTCAGTCTTTGGGAGGCACTCGAGTAATCCAGCCCGCCCTGTGTGTAGAGGAATGTTCAATGGGCTGGCATCAGCAAGGAACTCGGTGGGCAGGGAGCTCGCTGCCAAGGGTGTTGATACGGTAGCAAGTACAAACTTCGGGAAATTTTGTAGGTGGACGGACAAGGCAGAGGGCCCCAGCATTCACGCTTGTGCTGCTGCATCTTCGGCCGATACAAATGGCACTGCTGGTGGATCTGGGGGTCCGGGGATGGGTTTGAACTCAGACATTGACTATGAGTTTAACATGGATGAATACATGGTCACGCTTGACAGACCAACGGGAATTCGGTTCGCTCAGAGAGGGGATGGTGTCATATATGTTCATGCTCTTGCAAGGAATGGGAATGCAGAACGAAGCCGCATGATAATGGTTGGCGATGTGCTCAAGAAGGCTACGGCACTCTTCGGTGACCGAATGGATGACGTGGTTGATTTTGACTGGACCATGCATGCAATTGACGGTCCAGCAGGATCTATCAGCCTAGTGCTGGAAAGGGTTGCAGGGAAACAGGAAAAACTTTCAGCAGCAGCCCCAGCGACTGACATGACGATGCTGCCCATATTCAGTGGCGCCGATGATGGCCTTCATGGATCATTAGAGGTTCATGCACAGATAACACGATCCTCGTCCTCACCCTCAAGGAACGGTCCTTTCGGAGTGCCTGGAGGTGGCTTTTTTGAGAAGAAGCAATCCCCTCTTATACCAATGCCAGGGCAAGTTAGGTACCCAGCCAGGTACATCCCACAGCAGGAGGCTAGTGCATCCTTAGCCAAGGATGTGGGTGCTGGTGATTTCGGTTTTTGTGACTTTGCAGTGCTTCCATACGATGACGGGTTTGTGCGGTATTACGAAGATGCTGATGGTGAAGATGTAGAATGGACTGCCCGATTCGATTTTGTGGAAGAGTACATTGAAGCGTTGAGGAGGTTCGGATCCGACCTCCAATACGTCCACTCCCAAGGGATGACATACACACAAATTGCACCTGAGCTTGCAGTCGGATCATGCATCCAATCAGGTGAAGACCTGCGGTGCCTGAGAAGGGAGATCGGTGTAACAGCAGTTTTGGACCTGCAGATGGGAGTCGACCATGTCAACTGGGGGGTCAGTTTTGAAGAAATCGCTAATGTGGCACGCGACGAGGGTGTGGTTATGGTTCACCATCCCATCCGAGGATTCGACGCGGAGGATCTGCAGGCAAGACTGCCAATCGGTGCAGCCATCCTCTTTCGATTGCTTCGACAAGGACACCGCGTGTATGTCATGTGCACATCTGGGATCAACCGAGCGCCAGCTGTGGTGATTGGGTACTTCCACTGGATTGTCGGATTTCGGCTCGGCGATGCATATGATGCAGTCACATCAATGCACAGAAGCATGCCAAGTCGCTCTGCCTTGGTGGGCGCAACCTGGAATCTGCTCTTTGCTTACATGGAGGACGGCAAGTACATGGGACCGCCAACCCATGAAGTGCAGATCTTGTGGAACCATGGCGGACGAGAGGTCTTGCTGGCCGGAGAGTTCGGGAAGGGATGGGATGCACCTCTACCTGCCACCCATGGTGGGGGCTCCAAGTGGTATCTTGACCTGCAGGTGCCGCAAGGGAAGTTCAGGTTCAAGTTCATCGTTGATGGCCAGTGGCGACATGCAGTTGACTTGCCTACAGAGAAAGACCAGTGGGGAAACATCAACAACGTCATACATGTCGGAACTTTCGGGAACAGCTTGCTGCATGGAGCACTTCCTAAGGGTACAAGCAAGGAACGACTGATTGAACGCCCACTGACCGCAGCGGAGCGTCGTTTACTCAGGGTGATGGCATACCAGCTGGCCTTTTCCATCAGTCCAATCACCTTCGGGCCTAAGATCTAAAAGGCCGTATGTTCTTCTCTCTCTTCACATCCTTTGTAGTCTTTGGATATCTAGATAGTTTTCATGTATATATGCTCACATTTTATGCATCAATGTGTGCTCACAACTTGATTGCTTCCCTCCTTATGTTTGTGTGAAATTCAGCGTTGTGACCGCCATAGTCTTTTTTTTTTTTTTTGTTGCGAGGAAGCGTCCGGAAAGAGCAGGCCATCCCATGTTCTCAAACAGCATCAATCCCTTTGTTTGCATATTGCAGTTTCAATTTCAGTTTATCCTTTCGTCAGGCTTCATAACTCATTTCTTTATTGATATTTAATTTAGGGGCAAGCACGTCAATTCCACTTTTGAGTTTCGAATGAGCAAAATAACATGCGCCCGCAAAAAAACAGCCGCTGAGTTCGACGAAGCAATGAAAGTACCACGGCCATGACAGAGGCACGGGTGTCATAACTACAGGGGTCGGCCATGGTGTCGGACGGGGGCAAAAAGAAAAAAAAGGCCGTTTCAAACTCGCGCCATGATATCTTTGCGGGCGTGTGTTTTTTTTGCCTTTGTGAACTCAAAACCTGACGCGTCTGCACTTGTGTTTCTTTAATTTATCAGCAGCAGATTTAGTACACAGATAATTCTTATTGGCCACAGGGTAATGCTGCATGCCAAGCACAGTTGCGGTCGTTCGTCGGTGTTTGGATGATTGTGCACTGCTGGCAGTTCCTCTGGGCTATAGACACCCAAAAGAACATCCTGGACCAGTCATGCTCTCTTGGTGGCTCTGGTGTGATCGGCCCAGGCCGAGGCACTGTTGAGCGCTGCAGTGTCTCCGTTATAAAAGCGGCTGTGCCTGAGCATCGTCTTTCACGCTGCAGCAACCTTTTGATTGGATAGGGTTGGCCTGATAAGGAAAATAAAAGTTTGACCCATAAGAAAAAAGAAGGGCAGCATGTGTGAATTGGGGCGTAGAAAGGCGAACGTCATAGACAAGCACGATGTGCATGCAGTGCCATGCACACATTGTTTGCCTTCTGAATAATCATGGCATGTGTTTGGAAGACGGGAAAAGGAGGGAAAGGAGTATGCGTGTGTTCTGTTTAGGTGTTAGCATGCTCGCACATGCACACGTACGGCTATATGCAGCCTCTGAAATCTGTGCCCACACATGCATACAAGTAAGTACCCACTCATTTATGTACTTTCACATACCTATCAACAAAGAGAATGCACTTTGTGAAACAAATGAAGAAAAGCACTGACAGCGTGAGGCACACAGAAGCCGTTCTTTTTTGCCTTTTAATGTGCTGTTCTATCATTTCTTTCAGAATCTTTCTTTCGTTCTTTTGGCTTTTTTTTTTTTTTTTTAGTTAAAAAACACAATGGTCCCTTCTATTTTGGGGGCCAGCAGTCCGGTTGCTTATCGCCGGCAAGCATGTTTGCACATCCAGAGAAGGGAGGAGATCAGACCAGAGAAGGGGAACAGCCCAACCCTTGTGTTACTAGTCACACCTGGCAAGGGGGGAGCTGCAACAGGGGGTCCCACCCCCCCAAACCATGGCCTATCTCCGGGGGCCACCATGCTGGCTGGGTGGCTTGCTAGCAGCACCCACACACAGCAGGATGGCTGTTACATGCTGAGAGCCTACACACGGGCCCCTCACGGGACCCGAGGTTGGAATAGGGCCCCCAGGTCGCGTCACCGCAACCTGAAGGCCCTATGCCATTTTTACTTGGGCCTGCATCAGAAAAACGCCAGCTTTAGAGTATTTTTATATTCTTTTATTTWTTTAATTGCTGTTGTTTTTCTAACGTGTGTGCTGTTGTCCGTTTTGTGGCCAGGTACACGTTCTAGGGCCAGGACCTGATTCAGGCCCAGAGGCTGAGCCTCCAAAAACGTTTGGACCGTTTTTTTGTTTTYGGACAGATTTTGGACCATTCGGACCTGGACCGACGTTCAGGCCCGATGCATTCGCATAGGCCCTAAATCAGACCAGGTACCGAACAGGCCAGCCCTGGGCAGGGCCTGGACGTCCAGTAGGGACCCAGGCCGGCCGTTTTAGGCCAAGGGCTGAACCAGTTTCGAAACCTGCAATCTGGACCATGGATCGGATTTCGATCTGCACGGTCCAGAACGCAGGCGGTGGGGTTTCAGTCCTGGCCCAGCGCTACTTAAGCTGGGCCGTTGCCCAGTTCGGAAAAGAAGGTACCAGGAGAAATCCAGCGTTATGCTGGTTC